AGAATTACATAAATGTGCATAAGACACTTAAATATAATTTGTTGGAATTAATTTGCATAAGAATTACCTATTAAATTATTACAACTAATTGATAAAGTTATTAAGAGAATTTAATTTTCATTTTTTAATAAATAAATTAAAAAGCCAAAAGTCAAAAAATTAGATGACACATGACAGCCTCTCATAACTTTGGTTTTGAGAAATCTTAAAATATTATATTAGATCGCTAAAGTTATTGAAATACACTTAATTTTTCTTTTGTTTTCAATAAGTAATTTAAGAAGACAAATGTCAAAAAGTTAGATGACACATGGCAGCCTCTCATGACTTGAAATTTGAGAAACTTTACTATATTATACAAGATTCTTACGTACATACAATTGCCAAAATTGCTATTTCCTATAAGCTGTCCGTGCAAACTCTTAATTTCGTTTCTTTTGACATGAAGAGCCAATTTAAAAAATTTATTTATATGTTAGACCATTTATGTCTAAACTTCTGAAGTGGGACTTGAATTGATATCACAACATAAACCCCATAAACAGCCAAAGAAGATGGAACCAAGCACACAAGACTTACTAATATAATTTCGGGTAAAAGGCCTTGAGAAAGATCTCAATTTGCAGAGAGGGTTGACAAGTATCACGTTCTATCAATGATGAGAGACTCGAAAACTTCAACTCAATTGTGAAGAAACTTCCATCCAATATCTCTTTTGACGAAAATCTTGGAAAAAGTAGCTTTTTGAGAAAATGATTTTTATGTAGTAGAGAAGCGATAAACGAGATTGAAAATCTGTTTGTGAGAGCTAGGAATCCAAAAGCAAACCTTCTGATCTTGTGTAAAACTGATGACCAATGACCATTCACCATATCATGCTCCATACATGGATTCAACTTCGACATTGCACATTATGACTTGGAAGCCGATGTCAATCTTATCTCAGAATCGCTTGCGGGATGGATGAAGTTCAAGAATATCCAACTATAAAAGATAAAAGTTGGACTTGCAGATGGAGAACTCGTAGAACTCATCAATCTACCTCTTAAGATTAACGATTGCCTTATTTTGGTGACTTCTAAGTGGCGAAGATGCAAAATTCTTTGCACCTTTTATAATTTGGGATATCATTTTTGACTACAACTTGAGTTATCTAGGACTACCCTCGTGAGAGGATATCATTTGTGAAAATTGACCTTGTTGTCTTCTATTACGCAGCAGCTCTGGGCTTTCCGGCTAACACACTCGATACATTGCTCTGAAGAAAAAAGAAGTGTTGTAAAAGATCATATTCAACAACCTTTCGATGAAGATGAAGAGTACAACCATATGAGACCATGATCACAAGCTAAGGGTAACCTACCCTTAGACAACCATTCGGAAGCAAAAAAAAATAAATACAAAAGAATCGAGTTAAAAGATTTTAGACAAGCAATTTTTAAAGCCAACCC